AGAGCCTCTGTGCTGCAGCGGGCACCGACAGGGCCCTGCCTTCGCCTGCCAGGAAGGTTTTGAGGAGCTACCTTCGGAGCCTGGGAGAAGGGGATGTTTTTTCCCAAGCCAGCTGTATCTCTCTGCCCTGAGCCATGCCCCCAGGGCCATGCATTGGTCAGGTTGGAGATGTCACTGGGCAGACCTTCACTCAATCCCCTCCAGGGATTTCATGTCCTAGCACTGTCACCCTCCTCAGCTTTCCCCATTAGTCCCAGTAAGGGATTAGGCTTGTCCCTCCACACCTCATTTTTGAGGAGCAGGTGACAGAGGGCTGGTTGCACTCCATTTGCTGCCTCACAGAAGCCTCCCAGAGTCTTGCTCCCCAAAACCTGATGGCACATGTTGAAGCAGGAAAGATGAGTTGTCATCCAACAGACAGCACAAGGGAGAAATCTGCAAGATGCCCCCGCATCGCTGGGCCTGGGGTGGGAAGAATGTGCAGCTGCAGCAAGGAGGGAGACAAAAATGTCTTGCCAAGGGGCAAGAAGCCCTTGGAGATCCACCATCCTGTGCATCCACCCTCCATCCCTACTGCGCTGGGAGATGCCTCATGGATGCTGTTGAACAGCAGCAAGGGACAGCTTGTGTGGCACACCAGTGTGCCCCAGGTTGTGCAAGCCTGGTGCTTTCTGCTGTTCAGATCCATGCACCAGGAACACTTGAGATTGTGCAGCTGTTGTGCCCCCGTGGGTGCTGCTTTTGGAAGAGTGCTACAGAGGTGCCTAGAGCTGGATGAGAGAGGTCTGCATCCCTGAAAGGACAGGTAAATGGGCTCTCCACACTGACTCATTGCAAGTCTTTGTTGCATGCTGTCGGAAACACACAGAGGAGGAAAACATGGTTGGTTTGGGCCCTTTAGGAAGAGGTAGGGATACGGATTAAAGTGGCCTGGAAGCAGGGCTTGCAACTAACCCATGGACCAAGGGGTTTGGAAGCAGCACCCCTAACCCCTGCCATCCCACAGGGCCAACCCTGACACAGCGAGGAGCGAGGGGAGCTCTGATACAGCAGAGCAGGAGCTAAAGTGGCCATGACCAGGCTTGCCCCAAACTGCAGCAGGAAAAGCGGGTCAGACCACTGAGGTCTGTTACAAAACCTCCAGAGACTGCGGGCGTCAGATGCTGTGAGGCAAGGGGACGTCATTCAGGAGGTCCTGGATGGCTGCTGCACCCATGGAGCCTGTCCTGTGCCTGCATCCTCTGTGCTCAGCGCTCCAGGATGGAGGAAACACCCGCACCCCCTCACCGTTCTCTTTATTTACAGACACAACATTGACTGGGGGTGCGGGGGTGAGGAACGTCCCCTTGAGAAGCATCTGCCCACCCCGGCAGTGCCTGCAGTGAGGTCTCTGCAAGCCGTGTGTGGTGGGAGGGTGGGTGGGTGCACGGCGCTGTCTCCTTGAGAGGGGGAAGCCAGATGGCCGACCAAAAGGCAACAAGACGTTTCTCCATGGCTGAGCCTCCTTTGCCTTCCAAGTCATCTATTTCCATCGGCCGCCCACCATGGTCTTCCCACGGGCAGCCTTTGACCTGGGAGGGGAGCAGAAAAGCACATGGAAATAAGGCATTAGTGAAAGGTGGGTGCCATTGGAGGAGGATCAGAGGCCTTGCAGAGAGCATGGAGCCATCTCTGGTTGATGCTCACTGCCCCCTGGGGAAGGTCTTCAGTGGTCCCAAGTAAAAGCTTGGCACTGGAGTCAGTCTGTGTGTTTTGGGACTCAATGGGAACACACTCATGCATTCTGCCAGGTGTTTCTAAGGAGCCCAAATTCCCTTCCCATGTTCCTCCCTCCCAGGGATCCTTCAGAGAAGAAGTGGAGATGGATTTTGGCTGAGGGGGGTTAAGGATGGCTGCAGGATCATTCTCCCAGGAACCAGAAGCTCTGAGGCTGTTAGCCAAGACCCACCACATCACCCTCCTTAACCAGCACCAGGGGAGCAGGCACTGCTCTGGGCATGGGTCAGCAGAGAGGAGGAGGAGGAGGCTCAGGTGGGCAGTGAAGGGCATTTCTGGCCCACTGCTGGCCCGGTCTCAGCCCCGGTGTCAGCCCCGGTGTCCATGCAGCACACGTGCAGCAGGAGATGCATGGGAGATGCCTGTACTCACCCTTTCCTGCATAGACAGGCCGTGTGGGAGCAGGAGAGAAGAGAGAGTTGGTGTAAGGGGAGGCACAATGCTGCTGGCGGTCACACAGGGTGGGCTGAGCACCTCTCACGATGAGCTGGGATGATGATGCCAGAGCAGCACAGTGCTCCCTAGGGGGGAGGTAAACACCCACCGCCACCCCCCTATGAAGGGTCCCCCAGTCCTGTGCAGGGGACATGGGCACAGGGACAGGCTATCCTGTCCTTGCGGGGCTGCACAGCTCCCATGGTCCCCAGGATTTCCCTTCCTACACAAGCTTGTACCTCCAGCTTCTTTCCTGAGATACTGCAGGGATAGGGGTGACTGGAGGCTGGCAGGACCCCAAAGGACCCCAAAGGACCCCGCAGGACACAGGGCTTCATGTGCAGAGCTGCGGTCTCCCCAGGGCCCACCCCAACCGGGATCTCTGGGGTAGGGGAAAGCTGGGGGAGGTGGGAGGCAATGGGGGCTGTCAGCAGGAGCAGAGCGGGATGGACCAAGGTCCTTGGGCCAGACCTGCAGGTCCATGAACACTGGGTACCAGCAGGACCAGGGGTGGGAGTGGGAAGGACAGGAAGAGGCTTTGCGAGAATGCAAGAGAGCCAGGGATACGCAGCAAAGGCACCGGGGCCAGGGAAGCAGGGGGCTGGAAGGGCAGGCGGTGACAAGGCGGGATGCTCAGCCTCCACGGGGACTTACACCTTCTGGTGGTCACTAACACGGTTCCTGAGGACGTTGATCTGCAAGAGAAGCACGGGCAGGTGGTGAGGCCTGGCGAGATGCCCCACACCGGGCTGGGGATGGAGGTTGGGGCGAAGGTGCATCGCTGCTCTCTGTTCCCCAGCAGTTTAGCACGGGGCTGTGATGTGCAGCACTGAGGGAGGCCTGTTGTGGTGCAAAACACATGTCCCCAGGAGCTGGGAGGTCACAGGGCCACCACACAGACTCTGTCAGCAGTCAACACATTCTCCATCATTTCACAGCTGTGCACTCAGCCTTGCCAGGGTGGCTGATGACCGCTGGGAGGGTTGGTTTGGTTATGGCTCGTCTCCAGACAGGAGGCAGTTGTGGCTTTGCTTTCAGCACTGCAGAGGCTCTTGGGTGTTTGCCACCCCATGCACAGGAGGGGCACAGCCCTTTTCCAATGCAGCCACCTTTGCTGTGACAGTACCGCCAGTCTGACACCCCACCTCGTGTCCCAAATGGGAGCAGAAGGAGCAGCTGGGCACATGGGGGGTGAGGAAAATCACAGAGGACCTCGCAGCTCACCTCATATTTCTGTCGCTTGAACTTCTCCTGTAGGTCAAACTTCTCGGCCTCCAGATCACGGATGGTTTGCCACAGCTCCTTGGCCTTGTCCCTGCAGCGAGAGCCACCGGTGTTGGTGCAGAAAAGGGACGTGGCTCACACGGGACAAGGGCAGTGATGCCACCGGGTCCCTGCAGGCTCCAGGTGGCAATGCCAGTCCCATGCATGGAGCAGAGCCACGGTGAGGTCCGGACACACGGGGACATCGCGTCTCACACGTGGGAGCCTGGCTCCCTCTGATGGCTGGCGCTGCCAGCAGCAGCTTGGAGCTCATGTCCCTGCGGGGTGTCACAGCCCCTCTATGGAGATCATGTCACCATGGGGTGACACCACTGCACCGCGGAGATCATGTCCCCCACTCATGTCACAGCCCCTCTGTGGAGCTCACGTCCCCATGGGGTGTTAGAGCCGCTCTGTGGAGCTCATTTCCCCTTGGGGCATTCCTCTCCAGCCCAGGATCCTGCCCAGGAGGTGGCACCCAAAGCAGAGTCCCTGTCCTGGAGGTCCCTCCTGCGGCCTGTGCTCACCTCAGCTTATCTTCGTTGAGATGATCAATGTTCAGGGGCTTCCGCCGCTCGCTGAGAATCTTCTTCTTCTTTTCCCGCTCTGTTTGCTTCTTGCCACCCTTTTTCTCTGACTGAGGAAACCACCAGTCCGTCAGAGGGAAAGAAACCTGCCCAGATTTGCTCTACCCCTACGCCCAGCTCTGTCCCCACACCCTCTGCTTTTAGGGCTCCAGAAGCACATGAGGTCCTCAAAGAAATTTTGGCAATAGTGGGCAAGACACCCTCCACATCCCCATCCCTGCGCTGAGGCAAAGCTGGGTGCCCCTGGCCAGCGCATGCAAAGCAGAGCTCCCAACTCCCTTTGTCCCTCTGCTGTGACCCAGCGTGGTGGCCTGTCTTCTTCTGCTTGTGCAAACCACAGTCCACCAGCTCTGAGAACATGCATGGGGCTGTGGGGCCAGCCCACGGTCCAGCCCTCCCCAGAAGCACCAACAGCTTCACTGCAACCACCTGGGGTGGGATCACACCTTCTGCATGTAGCCTCCAAAATGCAACATGTTGGAGAAAGCTTTCTTCTTCCTCGCTTCCTCCTCAGCCTTCTTCCGTGCCTCCTCCTCCTCTTTGCGAGCTCTTTCTTCCTGCCAGGGCCAGAAGTGGGTCAGGAGCGGATGGATGGAGATATCATGGACCCACTTGCATGCAACACACAGCTTGTGCTCCCATGTCCTCTGTGGCTGGGCTGGTGCTACCCAAGACCACCCCACACGCCCCAGCCCCAGGGGCAGACTCACGGCCATGCGGGCTTGGCGCTCCTTCTCCCTCTCGCTGCGGATCCGCTGCTGCTCTGCCCGCTCTGCTCGTCTCTGTTCCTGCAGGAGAGGACGTTGGCTTGGGCACCCTGGGGAATCTGCACCCTCTCCATCCCTAGGGACACATCTCTGACCCCCAAAGTCCTGAGAGTGCCAAGGGCACATCTGCTGCTCCTGTGTCTCCCAGGAGAGCACAAGGACCAGAGCCCACAGGGGAAGATCCATCTCTTTGGGCACTGCAGCATCGCAGCAGCCAGACTGGGGGCTTCCCAGGCACCAAGGTACGAAATCTGGCTCAAATCTCAGTCTCGCGGAGACATGGGATGTCTCAGGTCTTGTGGTCAGGGTTGTGGCTGTTTTCCCCCAGGGGAGAGGGTGGTAAGAGCAATAGAGGGGGAAGGCTGCAGACATACAATCCTGTCCTTGAGGGAGATGAGCTCCTCCTCCTCCTTCTTCCTGCTCTCAAAATGAGCTTCGATGAGGGCCTGCAGTTCGTTCAGATCCTTCTCCATGCGCTTGCGGTGGATGTCCTGCACCGGATAGAAACACTGGTGATGTCTGACCCCACCAGTGGAGCCCTCCAGGAGCTGCAGAGCTGCTGGGCAAGGTGTAGAGGAGCAATGCGAGGGGAGCAACCTCACGAGGGTTGACTTTGGGTGCACTACTCACGTCAAAATCCAGTCTTTCACCATCTGGGATTTTGGGAGGCACCAGGTTTGGCATGAAGGGGACCCTGCAATGGAAGGGGAGCAGGAGGATGGTGAGCCTGCAGCAGAACGGTGCCTTTCATCCCTGCACTGATCTACCCAGCCCTCCTCTCTGAGCCTCACAGTCCCCAGGGATGCAGCATGAGCACATTCTGAGGACAGGGAGGTGCAATGCTGCTCGCTGGAGGCTGCCAGCTGGACAGCCTCAGAGGAAGAGCTCCAGCATTCCTGGGAATCACTCCAAGGTGCCTGCATGGCTGGAATAACTCTGCAAGCTTCAGGCAACTTGGCCACAACCCTTTGCCAGGCACCCTGGAACTGGTAACCATCCCCCTGCTCACCCAAAAGAGCACAGAGGAACCATGTGTTCCAGTGTGACCTGGCACAGGGAGCTGGAAAGCATCCTTTAATCCTCTGTGGGCTTGAGAAGGGGCAGGAGGTGCTCAGTGGGGGCAGATAAAGACACAAAGGGATAAGTTGATTGTGGCTGAGGACAGATCTGCCCCCCAGATCAGAAGATTTCAATGCTCCATGAGGACCCACAGGTTCCTGGCAATGATTCACAGCCCTGCTCCCATCCCAGGGATGCTGGCACTCATGCAAATGCCCACCTCTTGCCAGCCACAGCCAGGAGCATCCTGGAGAGGTGAGACCCAGTCTGTGCCCCACAGATTAACCACGTACCCCAGACCGGGGTGCATGCAGATTTTTACCAGCTGCAGGGCCACAGCACAGCTGGGCCTCCTCCAAGGAGTACACAAAATGCTTCAAACCTGCCAAAACACCTCATTCTCAGTATTCCCTTCATATTTCGTGTTTATAGGCCTGTCTCTCTCCCTTCTTCTCTCCATGTCCCAGTCCAAACCCTTCCATGCTTTTGAGACCTCACTGTCCCATGCCCTTTCTGTGTCACAGTGCTAAGCCCATCACACAGAGCCTCTGCCCTGGTTCCTAGGTCCTTGCACCAAATAAAACACACCCACACTTACTTGGGCTTCGGCTTCGCTTCACCTTCAGATCCCCAGGAGCAGGAGAGAAAGACAACGTTAGTGCCACAGAGGCATTTGCTTTCACATCGTCACCCAAAACCCACAACACTGAGCTGAGCTACCCCTCTCCCCCAGGTTGCACCATGGATCATCCTCCAGCAAACAGGCATGCAACGAGGAGTCCATCTGTGTGCCACAACCCCAGACACACAGTGTTGGTGTTCCTGGCTGAGCAGGGCGGTGTTTGGTGCCTCCTTACACGGACAAAGGGACAGTCCCTCCCTCCCCAGAAGGAACAAGGATGGATACTTCACCTTCCCCAGGCTCCTGCTCTCGGTCCCCCTCTCCACCTGTGAAAAACACCATGCTCTGGCTCCCAGAGTCCAGCCGTGCTGTGCCACCATGCCCGTGGACACAACAGGGTGGCTCATCCCCACTGCAAAACCCATCTCTGCCCCATCCTTATTCCCACCACAAAACCCAGCTCCATCCCTCAAGGATGGACGGGACAGAGCGGGTCCCTCATGGACATCCCTCACCCACAGACCCACCAGAAGAGCCCCAGGTCCTCCCCAGGAGGAACCCAAACAAGCTCTGAGACAGCTCAGGCTGGGAAAGCAGCAGTGCTGCCCCCTCCTTCTGTGTTTTGGGTGAATTTCTTACCCAGGCAGCACAAAGCCATCCCTCCCCATTTACCACAGCTTCTTCAGCAGG